TAAATTAATAGCGAATAGATAGAAAAAAGAGAAAGAAAAAAAAGAATAACGTTTAGCAACTAAAATCTACATATAATTTTAAAAATATCATTTTACTTCACAATTCATTATCCCCTGGCTTACTTCCGTGACAATGATAAACCGTAACGTTTTAATGATTGGGCTTACATGTTTGACACAACATGCATTAGCCCACAGGCTATGGGGTGCATTGTATGTACATGTGCCAGGGGAAAAAAAAGCTCATGCCGACTTCAATGATCGTTGAAGTACCAGTTATATATGAGTGGGACACACAACGGAAAACCCACCCCAGGAAATTACGCTGAACGACCCCCAGCTCTCGTCAATAATCCCCCCCTATCTCTGTTTATAGCCCGACATGTTATTTTTCAAGTGCACCGGCGTCTTCTGTGCCAAGTGTCAATCACACAGGCCGAGTGCCAGTTGTCACCAAAGGCCCCGCCCACAAGATTCCCGAAGTCCATTTCTTTCGTCTTAGAGCTGTTTGGCATGGGATCTGGTCGTTCCCTGTCTGTCTATTTGTCTGTCACATTCTGGCATAAAATTTCTCTCTCTCTCTCTCTCTCTCTCTCTCTGTTTATGTGCCTGACTGTGTCTCTGTCTGTCTATGTGTCTGTATGTCGATCTGCATGTATCTCTTCAGCTGTTTGGCTCGGGGTCTGATTGCTCTCTCTGTCTTACACACCAGTGTGTTAATGTTGTCGTCCTTTCCTGTTATTGTCTCCTGTTTCATTTCGTTTCTTTTAATTAACTTTATTTATGGGTGTCAAATGCAAGGGACTTGCAGTGTTAATTCAAGGCTTATCGAAGCCTTAGAATTTATATTTATCCCAATCCTATTGCAAGTCGTATAATGTCTTAATTTCGCTTTGTTGTAAAGGCCTGTAGATCTAATAAAATGAGGCGAACGGTACTTAATTCCCTCTCACTCTTCCTTCTGATTGCTCCAGCAAAAAAGTCAGTGGCCCGTATAATTTCATACATTTTTCACTCATTCATATTAATCATATGGGTAGGCTACTGCAGTAATTTATCCCACTAGCTATTTTTCTACCTATTTTTTAAAATGCAAATGCGCGTTTGTTAATCAGTGTCAATATGCATGTCTGCCTTGTTGTTTACATTTACCACCACTTTTTGTATATTTATTGTTTTCTGTTTAAATGTTTCTCCCCCACACCCCCCGACCCCATTTCTCCCCCAATAAACGCATGAACGTGCGTGTGGTCAAAAAAGTTGGCCCGTCTGTCTGTTTGTAGGAGTGCGCTCACATGTTTACGAGTCTGTTTCTTCTCACATGAAATATCGTTTACTTTGACAGTTTGTGTGTAGTTTACGACAACCTCCCTCCCTCCCTCCCATCCTCGCACACGTGCGCTCGCTTCTTTCCTGAACCCAAACAAGGAGTGCTACACAAAAAAAACCCCAAACAAAACAAAAGGCAAACATTTCCACTATTAAAAAAAGAAACCAACAAAATCCCCTAAAACCTTCACACATGTATGAACGGAGCAATGGGGTGAAAAAAAAAAGAATCACACTATCTCAAGCTCTCAAGCCCTGATTTAACCACGGAAAGAAAGACAGATTTCAGGAAAGAAAGGTTTAAAAAAAAGGGTGAAAAAAAGAAGGGGGTATCTGCGGTTCAGAGAGGGCGAATGGGTGTCGGAAACAGATAAGAGACGCTTAGCAGAGTCGCCTTCTTTCGTTCAACAACAAGCCACAAGAAAACGATTTCCA